ACAAATGTTCTGTCAATATCCAGTAAGAGGTTTTAATTTCACACATGACAAATTTCTGTGAATTTTGTGAAATAATTGCAATGTTTTATAGCAGTGAAAATTCCACTGGAGTCGCAGTGACTTTCTTGAAATTTAATCGTAGTCAATTTTTCTGTACTTTTATCTTATATATTTCTTAATATTTCTGGAAATAAACCTTAATTTTCAAGCCAACAGGCAAAATTTGAGTCAATTTTCAGCTTTTACTAACAACAGGACTTGGCATTAAGTTGGCACCCATTTTCAAGGCTAAATTTGATAAAATCATCGAGTAATACAAGAAATATTGAAGGGCACCAAGGTAAATTTCTTTAGCACCAAGGTAAATTTCTTTGGCACCAAGGTAAATTTCTTTGGCACCAAGGTAAATTTATTTGGCACCAAGGTAAATTTATTTGGCATCAAGGTAAATTTATTTGGCATCAAGGTAAATTTATTTGGCATCAAGGTAAATTTATTTGGCACCAAGGTAAATTTATTTGGCACCAAGGTAAATTTATTTGGCATCAAGGGAAATTTATTTGGCATCAAGGGAAATTTATTTGGCATCAAGGTAAACTTATTTGGCATCAAGGTAAACTTATTTGGCACCAAGGTCAATTTATTTGGCACCAAGGTCAATTTATTTGGCACCAAGGTAAATTTATTTGGCACCAAGGTAAACTTATTTGGCACCAAGGTAAACTTATTTGGCACCAAGGTAAATTTATTTGGCACCAAGGTAAAGTTATTTGGCACCAAGGTAAACTTATTTTGCATCAAGGTAAACTTATTTGGCACCAAGGTAAATTTATTTGGCACCAAGGTAAATTTATTTGGCACCAAGGTCAATTTATTTGGCATGAAGGTAAATTTATTTGGCACCAAGGTAAATTTATTTGGCACCAAGGTAAAGTTATTTGGCACCAAGGTAAACTTATTTTGCATCAAGGTAAACTTATTTGGCACCAAGGTAAATTTATTTGGCACCAAGGTAAATTTATTTGGCACCAAGGTAAATTTATTTGGCACCAAGGTCAATTTATTTGGCATGAAGGTAAATTTATTTGGCACCAAGGTAAATTTATTTGGCACCAAGGTAAATTTATTTGGCATCAAGGTAATCGCTGTGAAATTCAAGCCCTACAACTGTACATGCAAATAACATAATTTGATGATATGAAATTTTAAGACTAGCTAATAAGTGCATGGATGTAAACTAAATATGCAGTCGGTTGTTTTTTTTAATGTCTGTCTTTCTTCGTTTAATTAAACACAGTCAGGCACATGCATTTTTTGGTTTGTATGAATTTCATATGCTCTGAATATCGTCTAATTATCATTTCAATTTCTAGATTTTATAGCATTCATGTATAAAAGTGTTCACATCCAAGAAACTCACGAAATTTTGCTCTTAGGAAATCAATGCGATTTAGAGTATGTATACATATATACAGCTGTCACAGTATCCCTTTAATATGTTAACATTGTTTCATCATTTTGTAATATTGAATACTGAATGCACATCTATATCCTCATTAGGAAATGGAAATGATTAAGTAAGCATTCTTTCCATGATAATGGGCAAGTTACAAAAATATTGCAAGAAAGTTCAACTACTGTAAAATACCTAATTTTTACTTGTAATTTATTTTTGCTATTTGCACTGGAGGGATGATTATACTTTTTTTATATTACATGTATATACCTTTTTGCCTATGTTTTACATTCAACTTGTCAAAAATCAGTGAAATTAAACTCTATATGAAACACCCAAAAAGTCTCTTCAGGGAAAATTAATTCCAGCTAAAATAAAGTATTTCACAGTATTTTTTACCACCCGAGAAAAAAGACAGTTTTAGACTTCATCCATCGACAGTTATGGATAGAAAATTGCACAATAATATGGTTATTCAGAGCTGGGAGTTGAGCAGACACTCATTTTCAAATGCCAATATTTATAAACAATATAGCATATTTATGCATATTGGAATAATATGAGAATTATCAAAGGCAGCTGCCTTCAATGACTCTGTAAAGTTCAAGTCCTGGTCATTTCAAAGATACTACAAAGCATTCATTTCACTAAGCGATATGTGGTCGTATTGACCTCAGTATGTGTCAGTTGATACCGTCTTCAAGTATACAAATACATTATGATGTCCTTGTAATAACCTTATACATTGTAATATTAAACCTTTCACTGCCAGATATTTTTCCCGCCCAGAATTAAGTGCACATATTTTTACATTTTGTGAATTTGTCACTAAATTTTATCAATATTTTGGTCCATTCAGAGAGTTTTAGATATTGCTTTTAGTTTTTGACCAAAAAGTTTGTAAGTTCTTACCAACATTTCACGTGGAGAGGGACAGACAGTTGTTGCTGGTGGCAAAAGTTGACAATAATGCTCAAAATGTTAAAAAGCACTTAGTATAGAAACTCCTGATATTTTGTTCAGCAAAATGTCAAATTAAACACGAAGTATTTTTAATTCCACAAGAAACAAATTTTCAAGTCATGAAAACCATGAAATTTTGTACCAGTACGTTACATAGGACAAACAAAAATAAGAAGTCCAGATTTTGTGTCCAAGGAAACAATGATTTTGTAATTTCTCCGTAGTGTTAAGCACTATTCTTGAGACCAAATGAATTGACAACAGACTAAAATATGGTTTGGGTATCAGAAGTTATTCCTCAGGCTTTCAAATAGCCTGTGATAGGAAATAACTTCAGGAAATTCCTGTGTCAATGTGTGTTAGCATTGATGGTCATTGATGGCATTGTTCAACCTTTGGTCTCTATTGTTATATCTTCCTTTTATTGGTCATTGTGTGTATATTTACCCTAGATTTAATCTAATAAATCAGTGCCTTTGTGACTGGTCAAGTTCTCTATAATATTATTAAACGTAATCTCCACTAAACAAATATACTAGTAGGTATCAATAGAAGATAAAAACAATACTGTAGAATACTTTATTTTCACTTGGAATTAATTTGTATAAGCTGACTATCTGAAGAATGACTTGGCACAGTCAGCTGGAAAGGCTGCATGTAGCACATATGATCGTGTCATGTACACATGTCCTTGCTAGCTGACTATGGGATTTGTGACATTGTAATTTATGCACACAATAACTCAGAAGGCATATAGATGTATACAAGACGTAGACCAATGAGTGATCTTGTTTGTAAGTGCTGGTAATGATCAGAGGAATTTGATGCAGGTGCAAGTGTCTCAGAAAATATCATCATATTTGCAATTCCAATAGAAACGCAAATAAACCAAAAATGATGGATATTGTAAATTATATTATTGACCATAAAATTCGGCCATTTACAAGAGCATGCTTTTAATACATTAAATGGTATATTGTGTTATAGCATTTAGAAAGATGAGGGTTGAACTTATTGTAAACAAATGCAATGAAGATTACACATGAATGTAAAAAATTAACATGATTATTAATAAGCAATCATGCACAGTCTGAATACCACATTCATATTTCAAATAGGTACCCTTACTAATGAGAAACACAATCTAGGATTGCAGAAGTTAGTGAAACTGAACCCTGACCAAACCATAACACATTAGAGGCAATAAGATACATGTATTTATATTGAAACGAACACTAATAGTTTTCCCGATGGGAATGAAGATGTCATATAAACAGACAACTGTAACCATGTTCTCACTGGAGAACTCAATTCAAATCAAGATAGAGTTAATCATCTAAGTTTGTGTTGGGATTAATAATGCCATGTTCACACCAGGAAGGAGACCCAGTCGGCATATTTCAAAATCACGTTCTCATCTGTCATGTGCTGAAGTAACATAATGTCCTGACAATGGTGACATTCTAAGACATGAAGTAGAAGAGATATTTTCATGAATATGACATTGTTTTGGAAGGTGACAAATATTAATGTGAAATTATTTAATTATTACAGCAATTCCTTTCAGTGCAGATCAAGTTCACTAGTGAGAATGCAGCTTGTGAAAATATTTTTTAATCATCTATGCATTCAAAAGTAAACACTTCAAACTAAGTGTGTAAATTGAATTTGTTTGCATAGACATTAGTAGAATAATTTGCAATGTGAAAAAAATTGTTATACATACGGAAAATCACTATAGTAATTAATAAGCTAACAATATGCCACACTATTTGAAGAGGGTTGTTTGTATTAAATGAATTAGGAACCTTACTCCTTAAGGAAGGATGTAGATAACACACTTTTAACAGCAATTTCTTGAAATGTTGCCAAGTTATTCTTTGTGACTGCCTGGGTATACTGAAGAAGAGTTTGACAACAGTATAAAAATGGACACCAGATTCGAGCATACTGTAATACTATGATGGAAATTCATTATTACCATGGAAACAAGTTCTGGTATCCCAGCACTTTATCGATGGACCTTTTCATTTAGCAAAATATCAAGAATTTCTAGTGGTTTTTAATTTTCCTCTTTATTAATAAACATGAACCAGGTTTGTAGGTACATGTACTCTACATGGTTAAAATAATCCGGCATATCCCGCTAACTACCATGGTCACACACAGTCCGGCAACGCCCCCTAAGTGACTTTCGATTACACATTGATGACTCATAGGAATGAACTCATTGTGCCATTCTTATTTTAATTTATGTCCTTTGTTGAACGCTAGAACTGTCCGATTTGAAAGAACCAAGAAAACACACAAGCGAGTGATTATAAAGTTGAAGTAATGATGGTGTACAATTCTGCAACAGGGTGAAAACACATGAATCTGTAATCCAGGTATTAAGCGAAGAATAATTAATTTAATTGACCCTAATTTGAACGCAAAGGGTGATTGGGAAGCCGCCACACACTGTCTGGAATTGTAAAAGTTATTTTCTAAACCGCAACAGAAGCAGACACATATCCATGAAAAAGATAACCAGCGTCCAATGTTGATAGCCCGTATACTATAGTACGCTTGGCTGGCTTACCTGAAACGGGGACTGTCCTTCAGACACTCGCCGAAGTCAATCTTCGGTTTCATTATTCAGTTGTCAGTAGCTCGTATACGTTAAGTTGAACTCACTTCCCAACATTGGTCTCGGAATATATTCGGAAATGTTCAAGAACCGGCGCTTGTTGATGAAATATGAGAGATGTTGCGGAATACCATCACTGCAGCACGGACGCCATGATGAATCTAATACGACGACTTGTCACTTCCGGTTCCTGGACGATACTATTGACACGTGACTGATGAAACGAGGGTAGAACTTGTTTATCTCTGAGAAGCACCTAAGTAACATTGGGACGTTGTTCAACTATATACATAAATATGATAAATTCTACAACAATTAATGTAATATAACTTGATATATAAGATGAGTGCTCTTGGTATCACTAATAATAATAATAATAATATGGCCGGAGACACGTTTAACTGGCGGGACACCCCTACTTGAAATTTATAGCAAAGTTCAGAATTCTCCAGCACTTGGCGACTGCTGCCCATAGATTCTAATGCACGCTTCCATCAAAATAATAATAATGGTGATTAGTAGTTATTCACCATGTGTCGATATTTGTTATATATTTCGTATTTAGGAACAAATTTTAGGTGAGTACTTTCCCAAAATTGGACAAGGATAATCTCCAGAGCCAGTTCAGGTCAGGGGCAGAATGGGACCAGGCTGAGCACCGGTCCACAAGTGAGCGGGCCACTGAGGGCACTTTCATAATATTTTGAGAGTGGCAAATACTTTAATAGTTTGTTTCTGTTCGGAGAGTGTCAGCAATATCTCGGACCCCTAGCTACCCCTTTCCAGACATCCGAAGTGTGGAAATGGATACCTTTTTTCAGACAATTTTAGAAAAATGTGTTCACTTTCTTTGACTCTATGTTGAGGTACTGTCAGAATCCATTTTTGCTGATTGCAGACCCATCTCAAAACACTTCTGCTCAAAAAAAAAGGATCTCATACATTCCCCTGTACTAGAGATATGCGCTTCTAATAAACATGTGGATTAATTTTGCCTGGAATTATTAAAATATTGACTGAAAATTAAAGAATGAAGAAGAAATGTCAAACGAAGAAAGATCTTAATTGCACCAATTATCTTATATTCTCATCTTGTGAATTCTTGATAATGTTTATGTACTGTCTAATTATCACTGTATTTTCAGAGGAGTAGTTCAGACTAATTCCACGTCACCAACTGTGCAGAGGGTAATTGAGGTGAGTGCTGTAAACCATTTATTTTTCACTGCTAGAAATTTTCAAAATTTGATGATTTCATGGCATATTCGTGAAAACAAAATTTCATAAAAATCAGTGATTCACAAAATTTATGAATATTTTTCTCTCAAAATTAAAGCTATATTTACGGTATATTACAGCAAATCTCAGAAGTATTGGGGCAGCCAATTTGCAAACTCACTAGCTAGTTGGCTATAGACTGTTTTGGTTTTGACTAAACGGTTGGCTTTCGAATCTCGCTGGCGCTGGCTTGTGATCGCGTCCACTCTTGGCGAGTCTATATTGCATATCAAACTTTCACACTCAAACGATCCGTTGGGGTAACATTAAGCCAACCGCTGGAAAGATCGACCTCATTCATCGTTTTTGTGTGGACACGAAGAGCATAGAACACTTTCCTTGGTATATTGAAAGCGAAATCGCCATGAT